AGTCAGTGTCAGAGCGGGGCCCAGGCTCCTGGAGCAGGAGACCCAGCCCCGAGGCCCAGGTGAGCGGTGGGGCTGCTGCCTGGGGGTGTGCAGCGGCCCCTGCACCAGCTTCGCGGGACCCCCTCCAGGTGGGGACCTCCTCCAGGTGGGGAACCCCTCCAGGTGGGGTCCCCCTCCAGGTCGGGGCCCGGGGGTGCCCTGTGGCTTCTGTGCTCAGGGAATTGTGGCTGCTGGACGCGTGAGAAATGAGCTTCTTCACGGAGCTGCAGGCCTGGCTGTGGGGGCTGCCTGGTGGCTTATGTTGTGTGTGGGGGGTTGGGGGGCTGTGACAGCCCAGGTTCTTGGCGATTCTGGGAGTTGACTGTGACTGCTCGGCCCTGTCAGGAAGGCATGCTGGGGCGGGCATCCTTCTGACCCAGAACTGGGTCCTGACTTCCCAGGCTCCCAGCGCACCAGTCCTCCAGACAGACTCAGGGCTGCCTCTGGGCTGTGGCCGCACCCGGGGCTGTGGGAATGTGCGGAGGTGCCTGGGGCATCGGCTGAAGGCCTTTGGATGCCTGAGTGCCAGGAAGCTGGTTCTTTACTCCTATGTCTGATGCAGGGAGGGAAGGCCTGCCCCCATGACCTGGCCTTGGGGTGGAGCTGCGGGAGCCAGTCCTGGTTGAGTCCTGCCCCACCACTACTAGCTGCTAACTGGCCGTGTGTCCCCTACCCGCTCAGCCATGCAGATGGCAGGCGACGGTGCCGTCAGCGTCAGCGCCTCCTTGCAGGACGCGGGGGCCTTCCAGCCCCTGCCTGTTTGTGCACCCCCTTCCCCTTGGCGTGTGGGCCTCGCTGGCCATCAGCGCACTCATAGCTCTGTCCGTGGAGGGCAGAGCCGTGGTGCTGTCATCCCTGGAGTGTCCAGTGCCATCCTGCAGACCACCGGGCCTCTCTCCAAAATCAGTAAAAATCTGTATTTAAAGACGCATTGAAGGCAGCACGGTAGAGTGTTGGTTGTTTACCCTGTGCCCGTGGCTGCCCGGAGCTGCGTATCACTAGCCCGAGAAAGCACATCAGAGTTAGGGCTCCGGACAGTGTCCACAGAACACGACTGGTTTTGACCCTCGGAAAGTGGAACGATTGTAAGTTGAAGCATCGGAAGTCAGGGACTGTCCGTATTTAGTTTTTCTCTTTTGGTCTGTGACTGTGAATTACATTGGCTGCACATAAAAATACTGAGCTAACCTTGTATTCATAGGATAAATCCCATTTAGTCATGGCATATCCTTTTTTACATATTGGATATGATTTGATAAAATATTGTTCAGAATTTTTGCATTTGTATCTATGAAGGATATTGGTCTATAGTTTTATTATGTTTTCTTTATTGTTTTTGTCTGGTTTTGTTATCAGTCTAATGCTGGCCTCTGTCAGTTGGGAAGTATTCCCTTATTTTTCATTTTCCTGGAAGAATTTGTGTCGAGTTGGCATTATCTCTTCCTTATCAAGAGAGGAGTGTTGGAATCTCTACTATAATTTGGATTTGTGTATTTCTCCTTGCATTTTTATTAGTATTCTCTTTGTGTATCTTGAAGCTCTGTGATTAGATGCATAAGTGTTTAGGATTGTATGTCTCTGAAATCTACTTTGCCTGATATTAATGTAGACACTCCAGTTTTCTTATAACTAGTATCAGCTTCATTTTTCTATTCCATCCTTCCACTTTAACTTCATGTTAACATATTCAAGTTTTGACTATGGCTTCTTCTTTTTTAACTCTTTTAAAATTTTTTTTATTTTATTGATTTCTTTTTGAGAGAGCCAGGGAGAGAGGGAGGGAGAGATTGTTGTTCCACTTATTTATGTGTTCATCGGTTGATTCTTGGATATGCCCTGACCAGGGGTTGAACCCTCAATCTTGGAATATCGGGAGGATGCTCTAGGCAACTGAGGCGCTGCCTGGCCAGGTTGCCCATGGTTTCTTGAATATGTGAGATACAGTTATAATAACTGTCTACATGGTCTTGTCTATTAACTTTTCCTCTGCAGCATTTCCAGTCAGTTTGCATCGATTGGTTCACCCTCATTATGGGTTGTATGTATATTTGCTTCTTTGAATGCCTGGTAATTTTTATTGAATGTCAGACATTGCTATTTTACCCTGTTGGATAGTTTCGTGTTCCTGTTATTCCTGAGCTTGGTGCTGGGATGTGGCTAGTTACATGGGAGTGGTTTGACCCTTCTAGGCCTGCTTTTAGCTTTGTTAGCTGAGACTATGGTGTTTAGTGTGGGACTCATTTTATTCTTTACTGAGGCAAATCTTTTTCTTTTTTTTGTAAAGCTAGAATTTATTTCTATTTTAAAAATGCTCAAGAGACTTTAAAAAGGCCCAAGGGTGTCCAGGTTTAAGGCCATCCTGAGTTTCAGTTCCTTCCTTACTGAGGCAACAATTTGATCCATGTTAATAAAACACCCCAATAATTCAGGTTGAATCATGGTGATTTCCTCTGACTCCCAGTATCTTTCATAAATGGCCATCAGCTTATGAACGATGAAACACGTAATACCAGAAATAATCACAAAACGTCTTCAGGTTCTACTTGAATATCCTTTCTGCATTATTCTTTGCAACCAGGCCCAGTGATTATCAGTTTGAGTGGCAGAGATCATGAGTGGTACCTGCAGAGACTGGTATTAAGTGCAGCCCTTTTAGAACAGAAACCAGCAGACACCCTTCAAGACGAAACACCCCAGGCAAATCCTTTTTATTTTATTTTAATTTAATTTTTAAAAGAATACTTTATTGATTTTTAGAGAGAGAGGAAGGGAGAAAAAGAGAAACATCAATGTGAGAAACATCCATTAGCTGCCTCCTGCACGCCCCCTACTGGAGATCGAGCCCACAACCCAGCATGTGCCCTGACCTGGAATCAAACCAGCAACCTTTCGGTGCACAGGATGATGCCAAACCAACTGAGCCACACTGGCCAGGGAGAGGCACATTTCTTGTGTGTGCTCTTCCTGCTGCCCTGGGAGTTCTGGTGTTTTCCCCTCTGGCTGCCAGGGGCTCAAGGGATTGTTTCTGCTCACCTGTTTGGGTGGCTCTCCTGGCCTGGGGGTTTCTTCTCAAACGTGGTGGTGTATTCGTGTTCTAAGGCTGCTATAACAAGTAACCACAAACATCACTGCCTAAACAGCAGACACTTATTATCTTTTCTTTTTTTACAACATTTTTAAATTGGTTTCAGAGGGGAAGGGAGAGGGAGAGAGACTCATTGATTGCTGCCTCATGTATCCCCCACACTGGGGATCCAGTCTGCAACCTGGGCATGTGTCCTGACTGGGAATCCAACCATTAGCTCCTATTCATAGGTTGATGCCCAACCACTGAGCCACACTGGCTGGGTAGACACTATCTTAAAGCCCTTGAGGTCAGTAGCCTGCCAGGGATCTCACCGAACTAAGTTCCTTCCTGGGGGCTCCGGGGAGGATCCTTTTCCTACTGTTTTGGGTTGTTGGTAGAATTTTGTTCTTTGTGTGTGGGGGACCGAAGTCCCTGTTTGCTTGCTGGCTATAAGCTGAGGGATGTTTCCAGCTCCTGGAGCCACCCACGTGCCTTGGCTTGGAGCCTCCTCCCTCCATCCCCAAAGCCAGGCGTGGAAGGTTGAGTCCTGGGAGGGCTTTGACTGCCTCTTCCTCTGGCCTCTCCTTCCCCCGCTGGGATAGGCTGTCTGCTTTTAAGGACTCACCCACATAGTCCAGAGGAAACCCACCCCAGTCTGTACCCTTAATTCCATCTGCTAGATCCCTTTTGCCCCCAAACCTACCGTAGTCACAGGTTCTGGAGAGGACGGACTGGGCATCTTGGGAACATGATTCTGCTGCCCCGCACTGCCCAATATAACAACCGAGTGACCAGGAACCCTGTGCAGGTCTCTGAAATTCTCTCTGGTCCTAGAGCTGCAAAGTCCAGCAGGACCTAGGCCTCTGGAGACTGCCCCAGGCCACCTCCTCAGCCCCAGGGGTATGGCAGCTCAGCCTGAGAGGGCCCTTCCGGCAGTGAGCTGGGGTGACCTCCGGTGTCTTGCCCTTCACTCCTGATGTCCACCACCATTTGTTTTGTCCAGTTTTCCAGTTGTTTGGCTGGGAGGAACTGGGTCCATTACTCCCATGGGGCTGGGAGCTGATGTCTCTTATGCTGACTTATTTTTGTTTGCTCCTGTTTGGGCTGGCTGAGCATGGCCCTTCGCACTCCTATCAGAGGCCTTCCCAGCTGGGTGAGTTGGAGCTGGTTTAGCCCTTGTTTTGTAGAAAGCACTGGAGACAGGCAGCTGTGGCTTTTCACGGGGCAAAGCCTCTGCCCAGGCACAGCCTGCCCACCTCCTGGACTAGACCAGGTCTGGGAACGCAGGATTGGGTTCCCTGTGAGGGGTGCCGCCTTTTGAACTGGGCTCTGTGGGCCCTTTCAGGAGCCTCACGACCATCTGACAGCCACGGAGCTTTTCCGCCCTCAGCCTGTGGGGTTTGAGGTTTTGCCTTTTCCTTGCTCTGCCCAAACAGAATACATATTTTTATTTCTTGTTTTCCTTGTGATGTTCAGCTGCTTTCCAGGAAGAAAGCAGAAACACCCTGTGGATCCATCCTCTTCAAACCAGTCTTCTCCATCTTCTTCCTGTCCGCCTGGGATCCCTGGAAGTTTCTGGTCTGCCAATTTCATCTTTCTTGTTTTCTAGTGCTCTTGTGAGTTTACTCTCTTAAAACACACCCCTCTCCTGTCACTTCCCTGAGTCCTGGTGACGGGTGAATGTGTAGGACCCATCTGCCACCCTGAACTGGATTCTCCCGTATTTGATTCCGCGGCACCCCCCGCCTCTTCCCGCCTGTGCACAGCCACACAGTGGCGGCACCGCAGTCCTTGTGAAGGGAACGAAGGGCAGTGGGCTCACCAGCGAGCGGAGGACATGTGTGTTAGGAAGCAGGTGGCTGCCCCACCAAGGGCCTGGGCCCGCTGACCTGACAGCTCCTGGGAGAGTATGACGGAGGCCTGAGAGTGGCCAGGCAGTGGCGGTCAGAGGCCCTGCATGGTTAATGGAGGTGGTGGTTTGGTGCTTGGAGGCACCTGATGTTTGAAAGTTGCCCCTCTCAACCCCGGGGCTGTGGTTTCAGGTGCTGCTTGTCCAGCCCTCTCAGCCCCCAGGGGCTCGTTTAATCTCCGCCTGGGGGACCCTGGCTCAGCGGCTCAGGGCCCTGTTCTTGGCCCTCAGGTTTCCCTGCCACACACAACCCCCAGGACCCCAGGCCTTAGTACCTCCTGACCTCCCTTCAGAGTGAAGGCAGGTGCTGTGGGAGAAGGCAGTGACCTCGCCTGCCCAGGGATGGGCCTTGGGGGCCGACAGCTGCTGCAGAACCCTGGGTGCGGGACAGGAGAGCTGGGACCTGCGGAGGGGAGGGCGCTCTTCCTCCCCCCGAGCAGCCCAAGCGCAGCAGAGACCGCCCCCCAGAACCCCGCGTTTAAGTTGTGCTCTTTTCGCAGACATAGTGACTGCCCGCGATGCGATCCAGGAGGCTGTGAATTCAGTATTGTGCGCTGGTTAGGCCAGGTTTGAGAGGCGCTGTCCATGTTCGCACCGGGCGAGAGGAAGCCGAGACCTCCGAGACACCCGCGATGAGCGAGCCCTACGTGAAGAGTGAGTGCAGTGGTGGACGGGCCCTGGAGGTGCCCCACCCGCTCCAGCACTAGGTCTGAGTCCTCCCACCGGCCTGAGCACGCGCGTGGGCTTTGTCGCTGCAGAGCTGTCCACCATCCTGCTGGACTCCGTCACCGACAAGGACCCCCTGGTGCAGGAGCAGGTATGCAGCGCCCTGTGTGCCCTTGGGGAGTCGCAGCCAGAGGAGACGCTCAGCGCCTGCGAGGAGCACCTGCGGCAGCACGAAAAGGTGTGGGACCGAAAAGGTGTGGGACCGGCACGCCTTGCTGTTCTTGGGGCGGGGCCTGTGGTGTGTGGACAGTGTATTGAGATTGGGCTGTGGGCGGGGCCTGTCAGCTTGCTCTGGGGGTGGGGCCTGCACTA